GAATCGGATGAATGCGACCTGGACGTTAGGTCACATTTGAATCGGATACGGGTCACATTCGAAAAAGAATCCGACCTGTGCTGTTCACACAGGATACAGGTCGCATTACGTCAAAAAAATCAGAATTGAGTCACTTCAGGCTGCAGTGTGAACGCACCCATAAAGTGTATAAACCTTAACACATTAAGACCTATTTATGTGCTAAATGCCAGGCCCCTGTTTCTAGTGCTATGTGAAGCAGAGCTAGCTGTAGCTACAAACCCAACAGGGATTTATCAAAGTGTTGCTGCAAAAATATCTTTCTAGTTCACTTCAAATCATTTTTCAAGACTTTGATTTGACTCTGCTTTCCACTTAATGATGACTCCAATCTTCTGGAGCCGTGCTCAGCTGACGGTAGCCTGATGGATAGTCGAGGTGTGTGTAGGCGCTGGAGGCAGGTTTTCCCTCTCCGCTATCCACAGGCTTCCTGACTAGCAGCTGCTGATGAACTCAGCAAGGTCGAGGTAGGAACGATTTTCATCCTGCAGCCAGCCGCGTCGTCTGCTGCATTTCAAAACGCCTTCCTCCCTGCCACTTGTTGCAATTTATGTGTTTCACAAACTGAATGTTGATTTTTCTGCTGACTTTGTGAAATGTCTGCCTGGTGACATCATAGATACTCAGATAATGAGTATCATATGTATTTACAGTATCACAAAGTGCAAGGCAGCAGTCTGACAGCAGTGATATCACTACAAAGCAGTGTTTGTGTTTAGGGAAGTCATAGTGACAAGTCTGAGTACTGGAAATGGAAGGCTGTGTTTCCAGACTGCAAAACAAAAAGTCAGGACCAGCAGACAAGGGATTCAGAGAATACACAGCAGCAAATTCAGTCAATTTAACTTTTATTAGCAAGCTTACTGTGCCCATTTCTTTAGCTGAATTTATGAGGTTACCTTGAATGACACAGTTTGACATACATTATATATATATATATATATATATATATATATATATATATATATATAAGCAAAAATAATAAGGAAATAAAAGCTTAGTGTACAGTAGATAATCAGATGATTTCACCTCACAAGTCCGGTCTTACATCTTTACTGAAGCATTCCCCTGTTTCTTATATTTCAGATTCTGTTCATCTAATGTACAGTCATGGCCAAAAGTTTTGAGAATGATTCAAATGTTAATATTTACAAAGTCTACTACTTCAGGTTTTATAATGGCAATTTGCATATATTCCAGAATGTTATAAAGAGTGATCAGCTTAACAGCAATTAATTGCAAAGTCAACATTTGCCTAGAAAATGAACTTTATCCCCCAAAACACATTTCAACTTCATTGCAGCCCTGCCTTAAAAGGACCAGCTAACATCGTTTCAGTGATTGCTCCATTAACACAGGTGTGGGTGTTGATGAGGACAGGGCTGGAGATCAATCTGTCATGATTAAGTAAGAATGACACCACTGGACACTTTAAAAAGAGGCTGGTGCTTGGCATCATTGTTTCTCTTCTGTGAACCATGGTTATCTCTAAAGAAACACGTGCAGTCATCATTGCACTGCACAAAAATGGCCTAACAGGGAAGAGCAGCTAGAAAGATTCACCTCAGTCAACAATCTATCACATCATCAAGAACTTCCAGGAGAGAGGTTTCATTGTTGCCAAAAAGGCTCCAGGGCGCCAAGAAAGACCAGCAAGCGCCAGGACCGTCTCTTAAAAGTGTTTCAGCTGCGGGATCGGGCTACCAGCAGTGCAGAGCTTGCTCAGGAATGGCAGCAGGCAGGTGTGAGTGCATCTGCACGCACTGTGAGGCGGAGACTCTTGGAGCAAGGCCTGGTCTCAAGGAGGGCAGCAAAGAAGCCACTTCTCTCCAGGAAAAACATCAGGGACAGACTGATATTCTGCAAAAGGTACAGGGAGTGGACTGCTGAGGACTGGGGTAAAGTCATTTTCCGATTGTTTGGGACATCTGGAAAACAGCTTGTTCGGAGAAGACGAGGTGAGCGCTGCCACCAGTCTTGTCTCATGCCAACTGTAAAGCATCCTGAAACCATTCATGTGTGGGGTTGCTTCTCAGCCAAGGGAGTCGGCTCTCTCACAGTCTGGCCTAAAAACACAGCCATGAATAAAGAATGGTACCAGAATGTCCTCCGAGAGCAACTTCTCCCAACCGTCCAAGAGCAGTTTGGTGATGAACAATGCCTTTTCCAGCATGATGGAGCACCTTGCCATAAAGCAAAGGTGATAACTAACTGGCTCAGGGAACAAAACATAGAGATTTTGGGTCCATGGCCTGGAAACTCCCCAGATCTTAATCCCATTGAAAACTTGTGGTCAATCATCAAGAGACGGGTGGACAAACAAAAACCTAGGAATTCTGACAAAATGCAAGCATTGATTGTGCAAGAATGGACTGCTATCAGTCAGGATTTGGTCCAGAAGTTGATTGAGAGCATGCCAGGGAGAACTGCAGAGGTCCTGAAGAAGAGGGGTCAACACTGCAAATATTGACTTGCTGCATTAACTCATTCTGTCAATAAGAGCTTTTGTTACTCATATGATTGCAATTGTATTTCTGTATGTGATGAAAACATCTGACATACACACATGAAAACCAGAGGACAGCAGATTATGTGAAAATATAATATTTGTGTCATTCTCAAAACTTTTGGCCATGACTGTAGATAAATGTTTATTTATTTTGTATTTTTTTAAGCTTGCTCTGGTTGATATGATGTCATGGAACATGCTGAAAAAAGTGAGAAAAGAGCTAAAGTTGAAAGAAAAGCTTAAAATAGACTGGATAAAGTTTGATCAATTAAAAGTACCTTTATATTTTTGTATATTCTGCTTTTAATGTTACAGAAGATGCATGGTGCCTATTTTAACCTTAATGTTTTAATTAAGGTGTCATTATCACCAAAAGCTTAGAGGTTTACTAACTCTTTACTTACAGGCTAATAGTGACAGCATATCTAACTACATTGTTGCTATTAGAACTACAGTACCATCTCAAAAAACTATCAGGCAACATTTTAAGTTCATTTGATCAGTGGCGATATTTGCAGAGTCAGAGAACAAAGCTAAAGGTTTCATATCAGAAAGTGTAAGACAAAAAGAAACTCTTCCACACTGCCACAATCCGGCACAACAATCCGGTCACAGAGCCTTATGAGGAAAACCCTTTTGGAGCCATGCTAACTACAGAACTCAAAAGCAGCAGCTGTTTCTCATTCTACACCAGTGACTTACTGGAGTTTCAACAAACCTTTCAAATGTGATCGTCAATCACAGCCTCTCCCAGAGTTTAATTTATAAAATAACCATTCACTGAAAACAGTGAAGGTTTTGATACTGGAATTTCTTCTAGAAATTTGTGTTGTATCTCTTGGTAGAAAGTTTGAAAAACATTGCAAATATCTTCTTGTACGTGTTAATGTGATGAAAATCCCTTGAGCCGCCTTGCTGAAGCAAACTGTGCTTCCTGTGGTTGTACTAACTAATTAACTAAGTCTTCTCTCATTCATCTTTTGCAGCTTCTTCTTGGTCTTCTCCTGCCTTATCCTGTCAGTGTTTGCCACCATCAGAGAATATAAAGACAACTCAGAAAACGCTTTGTACATCTTGGTATGTGCCGCTTTGTGTTTTGACCCTTAGTTACAGAAACTTTCAAAGTCTAACTGCTGTAAATACTGTGAAAAGCTGCTCCCTCCCTCACTTCTGAGTCTGTTCTCTATTATAGAATGACAACTTATGTCATCTGATCTCATGGACACTCAGCAGGAAACCTAAATAAGAATAAGACTTGTATCACTGATGTAGTCACACCATAAAAACTAATTAAAGGAGACCTATTTTATATATATATATATATAAATCCCCTTCTCACCCTCCGCGGGTGGTCTCTCTCTCTCTCTCTCTC